AACCAGCTAACATTCGATGATATTGAAGATTCGGGAACGTTATTAATTGTGAATCTCAAGCAAACAAAGAATGATGAAATTTGTAGTTACTGAAGAATATATTAAATTTTACCGAATGCACATAGCCCTTTGTCCAGCAGCAGCAAAGGATCGCCGCCTGTTTTATGCATATCGCAATGAAAAATTTATCAATCAGGTTGAGGGTAACAATCAGTTTTATAAGGTACCTGAAGCAATGGCTAATTTTCTTCAGCTTGAAAATGCCAATTCATTCACAGGTCATTCATTTCGAAGATCGTCTGCTACACTTTTAGTTGAATCTGGGGAAGACTTGATGACACTAAAGAAACATGGCGGTTGGAAGTCATCAACGGTCGCTGAAGGTTATGTTGGTGAATCGGTAGCACACCGGACAGAAATAGCTAATAAAGTGTTTCGAACGTTTGGCAGTGCTGAAATAACACCCACACCCGATTTGTGACCAGGTACATCAACTGCAGTTGTGTCCATGACAGAAAAAAATATAATTTCAACACAAGAAAATTCGATTGTTGTACCGAATAGTTCAAGGAACATATCATTCACGCAATGCACATGTAATAATTGTACTTTTGACATAAAGGAAATGTAACTTTTGTATAAGAAAAAAGTACTCACTTGAGAAAAAAGTAATTTCATAAAAAGTGACATTTTGTTACCTATCATCAGAGATGAAATGTCAAACTTTTTTCCCGTCACAGAAAAAACTATAATATATACTCATTATTTCTCATTACGAGCAGGATGTGTTCATTAATATTTTTGTGAGAATTCCTATAAAATATCGCCCTCCCCTCGTATACTATCCCGAACCTGACATCAGTCCAACGGCCTCCGCCCTGCCGAAATCTCTAGATCGAAAACAACACCGACACCTGAGGCGAATATCTTCGTAGGCCGGAAAAATGTGACGTCAGCTGGAATTGTAGGCGACGTCCTCTCCAAAAGCTCGACCCACGACGTCCACCATGTGGTCGGAAGGCCCATTTACAGACAAAGTAAGTGGCGATCGACTCACCTGACACAACGTGGGCAGGGCGGCCTAAATGGGAACTACTGCGTAATATACGATTTCTTGCGGATTTACAAAAAGCGACGTGGAAGGCGGGCCCCGGTGATGGTGTGGCGCCTTCGTGGGTTACCTCTTGAGACCTGGTGAACTCTATGAACGCACGAGAGAGGATTTCTATAGTTTACACACCCTGGAGCTATGGTACTTCGATAAGTCGTTGGTGGAAAATAATTAAAATAGTTGTTAGCGACTGTAACGTGAAAGTTTCACTAAAAGTGATTGGGAAAGAGGCAGCACCCTCCGATTTTGATAACATTTTTGTGTTCTTATGTATTTTGACGTGTAGATAACGAATCTAAGGATAATGTCATTATCTACCGAGGCTTTGGCTAAATCTTGGTGGCACTCTAGTGCTAGCCCTGAAGTAACACAGTGTCTGTTCAAGGCTAATAGGGCTTGTCTGCTGTCAGTGCAGATTGTTATGTGTTTGCCAGAAATTCCTTTCCTGGTTATTTCTTTTGTGGCGATTGAGATACCAGACAGTTCTGTTTGGACCACGCTGGTATTTCATCCCATTCCGCACATAATTCTTAGGCTTAGTGATCTGGAGTACACTCCACGCCCTGAGCCTTCTTTGGTTTTTGAGCCGTCTGTATAAATCCGTATTGCATTTGTATCATCTGACTCTATGTTCTGCTCAATTTGTATTTTGTAGGGCTTATTAAACACAAACCTGGGTTCAATTGCATCGCTTGTTGCCTGCAGCAGAGGTTGCGCAGTAAGCGCTTTCCGCCATAGGCCCAGCCTCAATTGACCCATTCCTACTTCGAGGTTTACTCCAGCCGTGCGCAATCGTACCATGGCCATTGACGCAACCTCCTTAACGTACAGATCCAGAGGGGTCAGACCCGTGATTAATTCCATTGCCGCGGTTGGTGTTATTCTCATGGCTCCTGTGTTGTTTAAACAAGCCAGTCGCTGTATTTGATATAATTTTTGGATGGCCGTTGCTTGTAGAACTTTCGGTCCCCATGCAATGGCTCCATACGTTAACATAGGTCTTATTATTGCAGTGTAGATCCAGGTGACCACACGGGGTGAAAGACCCCATGCGCGTCCCACTGTCCTCCGACATTGCTCATAAGCCACGTATGCTCTTCTTGCTCTACTCTGTAGATGAAAGTTCCATGTTAGCTTCCTGTCGAGGATATTTTACCTCTTCAGAGAAGTTTAGTTTGCTTATGAAGATTTCGGGAGGTTTTAAGCCCGTTAAACTTCTTTTTCTGGTGAAAAGGACCATCTCAGTCTTCTTGGGATTGATCTGCAAAAACTTTTCAGCCTTCTTTTTGCACATTCGAACTATAGAAGCACAAGTATTTATTCGCCATATTACCTTCACATTGAATTTCACCTTTGGCACTTGTTATTTCGATAATCAACATTTTTCCTATGAAAAAACCGATGACCAAATGTCATCGAATTTCCTGTTCTGTACTATGGTTTGTCAATTTATTCATGAATTTCCGGGAAATGTTTACTTTTTCATGCCTATACCAACATTATATATATACTGGACTCTCATTGGATAAAATTTTCGTTTCTTCAAATGTACTCATGACTATAGACCTTAACCTCAAACCGTTTTCTCTCAGTTTCAATAGAAAACACTTTTGTGAGTGAACTTTGAGTATAAACTAGTCACCATTATCTTCAGGTGGGTAGTAGCACAAAAGAACAAGCTGGGGTATTTCTAAAATTATATCAACAACATCCCAACTCGAAGAACGTAAACTTTCACGGCTGGCGATAACTGTATGAAGGCTATTTTTCGGGTTTTCTGACCGTGGTCTTTAGGTTTTTATGTCTGACGTTTCGTCTACCGCAGCAGTAGATGAAAAGTACCCACTTACAATTTTCGTTCTCCATATCGGCGGGTACAGCCTAACCGAAATTTTATCGGGAAAATTATAGAGAAAAACCCAAGTTCATTTTTTTTTTATTTAAATTCTTCATTCAATCCATTAAGAGAGCATACAATTCTATTGGACAAGTCACGAATATACAGAAGCGTAAAAGGGCCACATATTTTTATTATTTGTTTCTTAGAAATTAGAACTTTGAATTTCGAAGTTTAGACTTTACTCTCGGATTTTCCACTTTACTCTCGAAATTTCGACATTGAACTCGAAATTATGACTTTTCAACTACTTAACTCAAAATTACGATTTTTAACTCGTAACTTCGACTTTAATCTCGAAATTTTGACTTCAATTTCGAAATTTCGACTTTACATTCGAAATTACTACTTTTCAACTAAATATTACGACTTTCGACCCGAAATTTCGACTTCAATCTCAAAATTTCGACTTTAATCTCGAAATTTAGACTTTACTCTCAAAATTTCGACATTCAACTCGAAATTACGACTTTTTAACTCAAATTTACGACACTCAACTCGAAATGTCGACTTTAATCTCGCAATTTCGATTTTACTCTCTAAATNCGACATTCAACTCGAAATTACGACTTTTAAACTCAAATTTACGACTCTTAACTCGAAATGTCGACTTTAATCTCGCAATTTCGATTTTATTCTCTAAATTTCTACTTTACTGCCGAACTATTAACTTCATTCACGAAATTTCAACTTTACTTTCAACCCGAAATTTTGACTTTTATATCGAAATTTCTGCATCAAATTCGAAATTACAATCTCGTAATTTCGACTTTGATCTCGTGTTAGGAATCACACGTTGAAAGGTAAGACCTCGTTAATCCTTAGCTCCCACAAGTTTCGACTTTTGAGGGTTGTCGTTCGTAGGGGTGCGACAGCTGGTTAACGGAAAAACATATTTTAAACAGATTTAAACAGAATCTCGAAATTTCGACTTTACTCTCGAAATTTTTACTTAAATATCGAAATTAGAACTTCAAACTTGAAATTGCGACTTTTTAACTCATAATTACGACTTTTAAATCGAAATTACAACTTTTAACCCATAACTTCGACTTTGATCTCGAAATTTTAACTTCAATCTCGAAATTTCAACCTTAAACTTGAAATTACAACTTTTCAACTCAAAATTACGACTTTTAACTCGTAACTTCGACTTTAACCTCAAAATTTTGACTTTCATCTCAAAATTATGACTTTGAAATCAAAATTTTGACTTCAATTTCGAAATTTCAACTTTGAACTTGAAATTACGACTTTTACCCGAAATTTTGACTATTTCGACTATTTAACTCAAAATTACGACTTTCAACACAAAATTTCGAATTAATTCTCGAAATTTTAACTTTAAACTCGAAATTACGAAAATTTTTTCTACCATTAAATGTAGGTATATTCCAAAAATTGATACCTTACACTTTAATTGTCCCAACAACACTAAATAAATCACTTAATGATGTTATTGGGAAGTCTCCAAAACATTTTTTATTCTTTTGATATTGTTGTGGTGCCCACACAGACTAATGTTTTTCCCTTTTCCATTTTCATAAGAAATGAGGAATAAACAACTTCCCACATCACCACCCAAAATCGGAAACACTGGGCGTATTTTATTTGAGAAAAAAAAAACAATTTGTATGCAAATTCGATAGATATAATGATTTCGTAATATTTCTTGTCAATATGATACTTCACTTGCCACAGTGCAGGTAGTTTTAATGAAGAGGCCCAAAGATGATTTGTTCATTTGAAGATCGAACCGTGTCCCTTCATCTTCAGATGAGGACACGGTTGGTAATGAACTTTTAAGATAAGCTTTATCATGGATTGTATGTAGTGAGGCCAAGTTTAAATTTTTTCAGTTGGTAGTTATATTATGAATCTGAATTATTGAAAAAAGTGGACTTCAATAAAGAACATTTCAGGTTAGACGACTATACATATAAGTATGTTGTATTAGGGGATTAGATCTAGAAGTTTAATAAAATCACCAAAGACCATTACAAACTAATAGTTCCTTCAATTTAATCACAAAATTATTTGTCACAAAGAGTACAAGCTGTTAAAATTCACGAGAGCCTGTGAAAATAATATGAAGGTTATAGTCTTGGGTCCCCTATTGTTTCTTATATACATTGATATCTGGGTATTTTTAACATCCACTGACACCTTTCGCAGGTAACGTTATACTTTACATTTCAGGACCATCTGAAAAAATAAGACGAATCAGAAAAAGGTATGATGTTAGGACTTCTCACAAGACAAAAACTACACATACACATACATATACTCACACATACAAAACCCAACAACACAAAGGAAAAAAACAAAAAAAATGCATTGATGAGACACCCTGTTCTTGTGGTTAAAGTTATATTGGTGAAACTTCGAGTAAAAGTGTGAGAGAATGAACATCGATATTGCATCAGGATTAGACAATGTAAAGGATCAAAATTGTCAGAATACATTTTAAAATCAGACGGTGAACAAGACGAGAATAAACCTCACGTAAATTCAAAAATCAGCGTGTATTCTCATATCTGAAGATAATTGTATTTCGAACAGTTCCTTAGAAATAGACCGTAATTGTCTTCCCGTCTTGAAGAAAAATATGAATAGTGGCGAACTAGCAACAGACTGATATTAGAGAACACCTGGTACTACGATGCATAAAAAACTCAAAGTTATCACCCTCAGATTTTAGAACGACAAAACCATCAATCAGTGTTTCGAACCCATCAGTTCATCATCAGCTAACTATTTAAAAATTCTACAATGGAAGAAAAACAACATAACAATAGATAATACAATGAAGTATAAAATTACTTACATGGAGAAGAAAATTTTATAATGGGGAAAAGAAAATTATCACATGTTACCATGAATATTTAGTAGTATGAAGGACTTTTTGGCAAACATATAGAATATCAGAATCAGTATCAAAAATGTGGTTTTGTAATTAAGAATGCTATTGGAGAACAAACTTCTTGTGTTATAATCATCTGAATGTAGATTTCTGAAATTATCAATTAGTTTAACATGTTCAAGAACTCTTGTTTTAATTTTCCTACCGCATTGTCCTACATACTGAGCGGAACATTTTAATTGTGAATAATGGAATTCTACCACAGGTTATCTTGTACTACATTGAATGTTTCAGGATTAAATCGACAACATTGACATAATTCACATCTTGAAACAGTTTCGACGAAGAAGTTGAGAAATGAAAATAATCAGCAAAAGAAGAACTCTGTATAGACTTGAATTTTGTCCGTTTCTGAAAACGGATGCAGGTTTTAGCCTCCAGAACATTAAGATAAGTATTGTATAATTTCTTAGCTCTGTTTTTGATAGCCAAAATCATTAAATACTACAAGTCTAAAGAAATGAACTATAAATGTTCAATCTCGTCTCAGATATACCTACACAGTAGGTTGAATGGACTGACGCCTATCAGAAAACAACTACTCCACTGGCTAATACCACGAACGGCGTTGGATTATATCCGACAGGCGTCAGTACAAGAATCTTCACAGAAAATTTCCTGCATATGCAATCGGCAATACAATTGAAAAAGTCGACCTTCAATTTTGGAATGGGCACACTTGCAGACCGGTTTCTGGCTCCTTAGCCACTCGTCAGTGCAAGATTGTGACCATCATTAACCGAAAGTCATTGACTTTATGAAAATTAGAGAAAATAAAGTGAGAGTGTGGGGCATCAAATTATTCGTAAGAAAATGATCTTTCACAAAAAACCGACGAACCACCCCCTTTCCATTTGAAATAATCAAGTTAACTGGAAAAATTCATATTTGGGACTGTGAAATAATTCTTAAAACGACTGTGAGGTCATAAGCCTCAAAGTCGTATTCAAATTCAAATTCAAATTTATTGCATCCATATCCTATTAACAAGAAATAGATCAGATTAGTCCAAGTTCACAAATTAAATTGTGTTTGATGAATGTATACAAATAAAATGACATACATAAATAATAGTTCAAAAAACAAAATAACATTCTTGAATATTATGAAACATCGAGTCAAAAACCGAATTTGAATTGGGTATTTCAGTGATGCATACTTCACCGCCTGTGAAAAATCACACAAAGATAAAGCAAGATATGAAGAAATATGAGAAGGTCAGTACTGAAAGTCACTTACGACAAAGAAATTCGAATTCACGGAGGAAGTAAAAGCATCCTTCGGCCAGTACTTTCTTTGATTTGCATTTGAAGATACTTGGACTTCTGCTCTCTCTCAATTCGAGGGGTAGAAGGTTGAATAGACGAATTCCAGTAGTCACTGGAGCTTTTTTTGCATGGAGTGACAAATTTTCTTCGCTAGGATATTTCTTTTGTTTTTGGTGTCATACATGTGAATATCGCAATGCCTTCTAAAGCTATTTAGGTTCTTGAAAATGTGAGTTAAAAGTTTTAATAAATAAATACAGGGCACCGTGAGAATTTTATTACTTTTGAAGGTGTCTCTGCATGATGTTCTATAAGATAAACAGAAAATACGACTAATAATACGTTTTTGCAACACAAACACTCTTTGTAGTTCGGACGCTTGACCCCAGACAACGATACTATATGAAATAGCGGAGTATCCCAGTGCATAGTAAACTTCAAGCAGACAATCTCGTTCCAGCATGTTTTGGAGTGTGGTAGAATTGTGTTGACCTTCTCAGATAGTCTTACAGATGAAGTATCTGACACAGTAATGCAAGTATCATCTGCGTACATAAGCACCCTTCCTTGAGATATGTGAATGGGAAGGTCGTTAATGAAAATGAGGAAAATTAGAGGACCGAGTACGCTTCTCTGGGGTGTACCAATATCTGTTTCAAATTCCTCCGAGATGACATCATCAATCTTAACAATGAACTTTCTTCGTTCGAGGAAGGACACGATCTACTCATTGATTGGGCCGCGGACACCAAGGTTATTCAATCTATCAGATATGAAAGAGATATTGACCGAGTAGTTTTCCACTGTTACTTGATCAAGAATGAAGCGTTTTACACGATCCATGGCAATGTTAGAATTTTATAACTTTTGAAGGTGTCTCTGCATGATGTTCTATAAGATAAGCAGAAAATACGTCTAATAATACGTTTTTGCAACACAAACACTCTTTGTAGTTCTGACCTTCTCAGATAGTCTTACAGATGAAGTACCTGACACAGTAATGCAAGTATCATCTGCGTACATAAGCACCCTTCCTTGAGATATGTGAATGGGAAGGTCGTTAATGAAAATGAGGAAAATCAGAGGACCGAGTGCGCTTCCCTGGGGTGTCCCAATATCTGTTCCAAATTTCTCCGAGATGACATCATCAATCTTAACAATGAACTTTCTTCGTTCGAGGAAGGACACGATCCACTCATTGATTGGGCCGCGGACAACAGGGTTATTCAATCTATCAGATATGAAAGAGATATTGACCGAGTAGTTTTCCACTGTTACTTGATCAAGAATGAAGCGTTTTACACGATCCATGGCATTCTAGATAAAAAAATAAAAATTGGAATAAAAATGGTTTCATTTGTCAAATATTGACAAGTGAAGTATTGGTGGATTTAGAATGTCATTCTGGATCGAAATATATAGGATGTCCCATTTAAAAATCGAAAGTTGGGGTCATTTCCGGTCAAACCGGAAGTACGGCAAAGTAAGTAAATATATCAAAAAATGTGAATTGAACTATAATACACAACTCCCAAATTTTGTTTCTCTATCTCCAATAATAAAAAAGTTACAGGGTTGAGCTACCGTAGAGAATCACCTGGTATACCAAATTTTAGCTGTTATATTGAAAAAATCATAAAAAACTAAGAATACTTGGTGATGCTCCATTTTTTTCTGTAAAAAAAAGAATACTTCTAACAGAGGAAAAAGTCAAAATTCCTTGAGGTGGCGTCATTACCTCGGACTTCCCTCTTATTATTTTTTATACAATCCATTTATTTCACTGCAATAAAACCAGTATACTTCATTTGGTAATTGCAGAATACCGTTGTTTGTGACACAAACAGATAAACCCAGCAAATGTGTTGTTTTCAATTACGACATACCTACCTCATTCATACCCCCGTATATTTGTCACTGCAACCAGTCCTAGTAACATTCAACGTTTTATTATTCTTCAGCCTACGAGCTTTTCTCTTGTCCACCTACATGGGCATAATAATGTATGTTATAGGATTTGTTTCACATGGTTATACTTTTCTGCTTCGCAGCATTGATATATATGTTTTCGTTATTGGCACCTCACGAATCGCGGTGATTTGTTCACCTTGCATTTCACTTTTTTTATTTATAATTCATGAGATGCAGCCGCTTGAATGACTCTATTTTAAAGTTTTAAGAATACATTGTTCGATATGTCACAGCCAGGTTTAACTTTCAAATGAAAATTTGATCACACTGACTGAAGTTAAATAAGATTTAGAGCCATTATTTCCTTCAAACCGATGAATCGTTGAAAATAGAAGGCTAGGCCAACAAAATGGAGATTTATTGTAAAAGGTACGTCGTTTCTTTCCAACAGCGATGAAACTGCCAGCCATGAAATTAACATCTTGGTTTTTTTTGTTCAAGGACAAAACACAAGCACTACAGGAAAATCTTTAAGGCCCTCTAAGAGCGGTGTCTCTGTTGGAAAGAAGCGATTCACTTTGGATTTGAATCGCTGGAAATTAAATCAATTTGGAAAAACGTTCCCAGGAAGTTTATTCCACTTAAACGCAGTTTTCCAAATGGAAGAGTTCTCAAACAGTTCGAGGTGTACTGAGTTGAACCTGAAAACGATGATCAGTCATATTCCGTCGCGTATTTCTGATATGTACCGCTCTTGGCAGAATCAAATGTGCCAAGTCACTTGAACACTTCCCGTGAAAGTATCTATAGAAGAAAAAGAAATCTTCAACCTTTCTTCGATGTTCCAGACTATCAAGGTTGCGAGTGATATTCGCGTCTCCAATCAGACGGATGGCTCTTTTCTGGATGGAATCCAGCTACTTCAAGGTATATTTACCCCTATATATAAAACAGGTAAGCGTGATGATATTGGAAACTATAGACCAATATCGTTTATCAATAATCTTGCTGAATTATTTGAACAGTCCTCAAAAAGTAGACTAACAGACAGACAGTTTGGTTTCGTTAGCAACTCCAATACATAGGACACAAAAGATCAGAGTTGATGATAGCCTGAGTGAAGCAATGAAAGTTAAAACAGAAGTACCACAGGGAACAGTTTTCGGTCTCATACTATTTCTTGTTTACATCAATGGTATCTGTTCCATCAGCAATTTTGGAGGTCATTTCATATCATATGCGGACGATACAGCACTCATATTCACAGGTAGTAATTGGAAGGAGGCATTTGAAAAATCTTAAAGGGACTGAAATATATCCAGATATGGCTTGATCACAACCTTCTGAGTCTGAATTTGAGAAAAACTAAATTTATTACATTCACCCTATTGCAGAACGTTCAACCTGGAAGTAACATAATCCATATACATGACAGAGACTGTACTAATACAACAAACTGCAATAGTGCTGTAATAGAAAGAACAAATGTGATTAAGTATCTGGGAGTTATTGTGGATCGACATATGACGATTTTCAGCAAACTCTTCATCATTCCCAATATTCATCAATTCTGTAAATTATTTAATTGAAATGTATTTATATAGATATAGGTACAAGATAGTTAATGACATACGAGTATAATTGAATACCCTGACTGGTAGATGGAAAGCTCAACACAGGTACTTTATGATATACTGTTTGGAACCTTTGGTGTAGTAATGAATACTACTGGAGTTTTTTCCAACACCAAATCGTTATTTTTACACCATTACGGCAGTAATTTTTCATAACTAATGGTATTGAA